TTGGTTATGGCTAAAAAGTTTTCATAATTTAGCCCTGTTTATCTACTATATACAAGGATGTATTTACAGTATAAATATGTATGTAGAAATATCCTCTGCCAAACCTACATACGGTTGTGGGTGCAATCCCACTGGCCTACGCATACCTGTTCAGCCTGTATGTCTATCTCTAAATCCATTTGTTGATTATTGTTATTATTGATACTGCAGGATTGTGTATGTAGTATTATTTACCTTTGTTGTCTGTAACTCTTGTGCACCTCTCAGTATCTTCCTTTGACTTAGTGGTATCAGGCAATCTCTTCCTTATTGTATATTGCCCTTCCATTCACACAAATTAATATGTGTCTATGATCTAGTTAGTGATTTTCCCTTCCTGGTAACCATCAAAGAATGTTTCTCTCTGTGTGTAAACCTTTCCTTGACATTTTATAATAATAGTTTCATACAACATTTATTCTTTTGTGACTGACTTATTTTACTCAGCATGTCTTCCAGGTTCATCCATATAATGAGGTATTTTGCAGATTCTTCAGCTTTTTTTTTTGTTTGTTCTTCAATTGATTTTATTTTTAGAGCAGTTATTTCTTATGGGAAATCTACCAATTTATTGTCATTATTATTTATTTCTGCAGTGTTCCCTCTCTTCCCCTCAAACCCTTGGTAACCAACAAAGAAAGTTTCCTTCCTTATATAAATCTTTCACTGACTTTTTACAATAATGGACTAATATTATATTTGTCCTTCTGTGATTGACTTATTTCACTCAGCATAATGCCCTTCAAGTTCATCCACATTATGTGGTATTTTGCAGGTTCTACATTATTCTTTGTTGTTGTTGCTGTTATTTGCATCAAGTCGGCCCAACTGATAGCAACCCCTCCTTGGGTTTCCAAGGCTGTATCACTACAGAAGTAGATTGTTCAATCTTCCCTCTGAGGAGTGGCTGGTGGGTTTCAATAGCCAGCCTTCTGGTTAGCAGTCAAGTGCCTTAGGCACTATGCTACCAGAGCTCCTCATTATTCTGTAGGGTTGCATAGTATTCTATTGTGTGTATGTACTATAGTGTGGTTATCCATTCTTCTGTTGATGGGCACCTAGGTTGTTTTCATCTTTTTGCTATTGTAAATAGTGCTGTGATGAACATGGGTGTGCATGTATCTACTCCTGTCCTGGCTCTCACCTCTTTAGGATATATACCTAGTAATGGGATCAAATGGTTTTACTAATGCCAACATTTTAAGGAATCACCATACTGCTTTCCACAATGGTTGTACCATTTTACAGTCCCAACAGCAGTGTATGAGAATGCCAATCTCTCCACATCCTCACCAGCATTTGTTATTTTCTGTCTTGTTGAACTTTTCCATTAGTGCTGGGGTGAGGTGGTATCTCATCATCTTTTTGATTTATATTCTCTAATGGCTAATGGGGAGCTCTGGTGGCATAGCTAGGTATGTGACTGCTAACCAGAAGGCTGGTGGTTCAAACCCATCAGCCACTCCTTGGAAAGAAGACTAGGCAATCTACTTCCACAGAGATACTACTTTGGAAACTCAAGGAAGGGTTGCTATGAGTCGAATCAACTTGACAGCAGTGAAGTTTCTTTTTTTTTTTTGTAATGGCTAATGATAGTGAACATTTCTTCATGTGTTTGCTGGCTGCCTGAATATCCTGTTTGGTCAAGTGTCTTCTGTCTGGGTATGTCTTCTGCCTATTTTTAAACTGGATTGTTTGTCTTTTTGCTGGTGAGGTGTTGAAGCTTTCTATAAATTTCAGAGATAAGTTCCTTGTCAGATATGTCATTGCCGAATATGTTTTC